TAAGGGCCAAACCGCATTTCCACTAGAATGATTTAACTCATTATGCTCTCCATCCATGTAACCACACTATGTTTGACAATTAGTTTAGGCGTCGGCTAACTTTTGTTAATTTACATCAATTAATATTGATTTAGCTGGAAAAAAGTTCAGTTAGGATGCCTCAAAGTCCTTGAATTCAAATATTACAAACTATTGTCAAATTGTCTGTTATAAGGCAATCGACTTAGTTCAAATAACATAAACACACAATTTTTGTTTTATGTCTGTGGATATGCTATGATCACCTGGGAGACAGTCCAAATTTATGTTTGGGCGGTGATATCACGGTAATGTAATGTAATGGACTAAGATCCCACTGCAAGATTGCTGCGTTCATTGCGTATTTAATCGAAATCAATTTTTTATATACAATAATAAAAGGGACAATATGTTTTGACCGGGGTGCCTATTCAAATGTGCCCGCTAGTTATAACATAACATTAACAAATTGTCATAAAAAATAGTCACTTGTCATTATACAATTATATATTTCATTTGTTATTTGTACATTACTAAAAAAGGTCTTTGTAAAATATAATAAAGATTCTGAAATATGTAGACACTTTTTTACATACGATTTAGCTTTAAATACTATAAATAGGAATTAACGTTTTAAGTTTCAGTGCGTGTGAAAGCCCTTAGTCCACGTTGTATATTTGTATTGACTCAACTAATTGAAATGAAATATAGCCATGACCCATAAAAATTGTAATTGAAAAATAACTCAATTCGTTAATTGAATTTGATCCTTGTATTGTCGTCCACGGTAGTTATGTAATTACGAAAAATAAATCGAATATCAAGATATGCATGTGCCCGTGTAAGTTCTAATTTTTAAATACTTTTAGTACATTTTATTTTTGTTGCGGGTAAATAGTAGCGTATTATGTTAAAGAAATATATTTTTAGTTAAGCTACTTTAGTTCGATCAGGTAGAGGCTTAGAATACTAGGAATAGGTTTTAAATTATATGTTATTTATTTCTTGTCCTATTTATTGTTTTGATAGATGGAAGAAATTTTGCAGTATTCGCAACAATTTTTATATTTTGTATTTTAAAATATTTGGTTAATTTCTCCATTAGTTACATTAAAGGATTCTCTGTCCCATAGAGTATGACCAATTTGTAAAATCTTATGTATTTGCGATAAAATTGCTCCATTTATAGATTTTTTGTAAGCGTCTTCTTTAGATTCAATAAAAGATATGTTCAAAATTTGTATGTCTCTTGGTAGAGTAGTAACTGCAATATTAAAACAAGTTATTTATTACTACGATAAGATACTAATTGAGTTTTTGGATGAATTATATGTTTGGACTTATAGAGTTATACTTATAGATATAGCTTATTATACTAATATTTATAATTAAACTTATCTATACTAATAAATGGAGAGCCGATTTTTTGTTCGGTTATACTGCGATAACTACTGAACCCATCGGAATAATACTCATACCATAAGATGCAGCGTGTTTCGGAGAAGGTTTTAGTACCTACATATATGATATATTGGTGATTAATGTACCTACTATGTGGGGGTAGCCGCAGGAAAACGCTAGTATTAAAAAACTTGTATTTAGATGATTCCATAGTTTTTTATAGCTTTTTAATAAAGAGTTATTTTAGGACTCTTTATAATATAAAAATGACAAAATATAAAACCGCTATTTAATAGACTTGATTTCGCCTATTTTTTGGGCACTTTACCGATGACCATAACGTAAATATAACTACTTCATCGGCTTTAAAAAATACAGTAAAGCTAAGAATATAAATCAGTTTTACGGTTGAAATACATTGTAATTAATTGTAGCTGACATACGTATGTGTTATTCCCCCCCCCCCAACGTGTGTTCACCTTGTTGTGGTGGGGGGGCTCAGTAGTGCCCGGCAACCCAACCGGGCGCGAAGCCAAGAAACGCACAGGGAGGTGGCCCACTTCAGTGGGCGGTGGGAGGTGGCCCTCTTCGGAGGGCGGTGTACCATGCGGGTTGCTCCTGGTACTTCTCTGATAGCAGAGTGGACCTTGGAGCAACCCCATGGTTGTGGTGGTCTGCTTCGGCAGACCTGCCGTCGGGGCGTCGTAGTTGAATGCGTAAGCGATCCTGCGATGCCCCATTAAGACGGGGGAAGGTTTCGTTGGGTTTTAGTGGGTAGTACTGTCTTCGCCGGTGAGTCCCACACCTCGTGCGTAAATGCATTTCCCAACGTTAAAAAAAAAAAAAAAGTATGTGTTATTCAGTAGTATACTAGTTCGTATGTTTTACCTGGTTTGAAGCCTGTTCCATGTGCCACATAACAATAAGTGTACCCTATAATAGCTCCAGCACCGATCGCAGAAAGTGTCATTACAAGTAAGCCTGCTGTTAAAATTATACATATCATCCACTTTGGTTTGCTGTCGGAATTGAATATATTTATTATGATACCTATATGATAATGAAGGTAATTTTCTTAAAATAAAAATTGAATTATTTTTTCTTAAAAATATTTTAATACTATACATATAATAAAATTCTAACAAAGTCGAATCTTTACACAAAATATTTTTTTGAAAATCTTATTGTAATATTCATTATTATCGATACAGAGGCCAAATCTATAGTTTTTAGAATTTTTGTTTGTTTGTCTGTTTGTTACCGCATCACGGAAAAACCACTGGAGGGATTTTGATGAAATTTGGTATGGTGATAGCTAGTTATCCGGGTCAACATATAGGATACTTTTTACCGCGGGATAATATCTCATTTTTGAGAAAAAATACAAAAACTGCAATGTAAGAGTATACTAATATGTAAAACCTAAGAATTTGGTTTTTGGTCATCTGAACGCTGGCGGAGCCGCGGGCAACGCTAGTTATAAATAAATAAAATACACATGTAGGTATATTGTGTTATACTAGCGACTCACCCTCGCTCCGCTCGGCCCTAGTTATGTTTTAAGGTTTAGTAGATTTCTCAAAGATGAAATATTTTCCCGCAGTAAAATGTATCCTCTATGTTGACCCGGATATCAGAGCTACCATTATACCAAATTTCATCAAAATCCCTCGAGTGGTTTTTCCGTGATTTGGCCACAGACAGACAGACAGAGAGACAAGAATTCTAAAAACTATAGATTCTGACAATATATCGGTAATAATATCTATTTCAAGAAGTTTTTCAAAAAATATTTAATGTACAGATTCGGCCTAATTACAATTTTATTATATGTATAGATTATAAATTACAAAATTTTAAAAAAGCTACTTCTTTGGAATATAAATAAGACGCCTGACAAATTTCTGATAATGCTTTTAACTAATGTATGATCGTGGTATTTTTAATATATAGGAATAAAACATTATTTGGTTTTATAAATAAAATAAACAGTAGGTATAATCAATATATTGAATTTAAATAATACATAATTATTACCTAATCTTCGTTATCGAAGATTAGAGATTTGCTCTAAGTCTATGTAAAATACACAATTCTAAGTTGCCTAGTAAGCATGACTTATGATCATTAATCTTTATAAATCTTATTAATTGGAGCTTACTTTCTCAAGGAGTCGGGAAGATTTTCTGTTTTAATAATCCTATAATCCGTCATATCCACTATTAGATTCACAAAAGGAAACAAACAGTATTATAATTTATATTAGACCTACGAGTATATAATAAATTAAAATTGACAATTTTATTATTATTTTTAAATTTAATAAGATGTTAATCAATTGTAAAATTAAGTATGTATATAGATTAGGACTCAATTATGATTAGGTAATAATTATGTATTATTTAAATTTAATATATTGATTATACCTACTGTTTATTTTATATGTAAGTACTAACACTTGTGTGACATTAGTAATATAATTTGAACTTTACGTACCACGTTTTACCACGAAAAAGAATTAGTAGAACATTTTAAGCCTAGAGTTCAACTATAGAAGGAAATTCTTCTTCAACGATATGGTATAACTCTAAAAGAAGCTCTATCTCGTTCTACTATATCTCTATATTATATTTTTTATTTTATTATAATGTATGTTTTGTCTTATTTGGAAAAAAAATAATACAATAATAGTTGATCTCGCTATGTATTTGTAAAGAAAAAAATATAATTTTACATAAATATACTTATAATAAAACTGTAGAGGACGAATGTCTTGTACATAGGAAAAAAAGGCTTAAAACCGATTCAGGAGATGTAGAAGAGAAATAGAACAAATCCTGTTTTTTTTCAATTTTTTTGTTTCTCTGTCTGTTTGTCTGTTTGTACCGGCTAATCTCCAAAACTGTTGGACCGATTTAAATAAAATTTTGCATGGTAGTACCTTATATCCCCAGTCAACATTTTAAATACTTTTTATCCCGAAAAATTAAAGTTCTCGTGGGATAGTTAAAAAACTATACTAACTAATACAGCTAGGTACTCAATAACTTATGCACCTAATTTGGTAAAATTTGGTATGCTTACATTGTCACACACAACACCTTACATTGTCGGTCAAACAACAGGTTACTTTTTATCCTGGAAAAATGGAAAAAATGGAAGGATAGATCTGTTTGTGCTTTTCATACTTACATTACAGTTTATATGAAACTTTACAATAAATTGATGAAAATTTTAAATAAAACAGAAAACTTTTTAACAAAAAAATAAAAACCGACTTCAAACAAAAGCACTAAAAAGTAAAAAATAACTGATTGGTAGTTTTCATTTACTATACATACCTAATCAAATATTTTCGAAGTCGGTGATAATTTAAGTGCTAAAGACTTTTCAGTGACCACTCTATCTTTACTTATATTTTGAATAACTGAAGTATATATTTATATTAAAAAATAAAACATTTACCTGTCAATAGAATTTATTTTTATATGTCATATTTTATTGGTATAATTACTCTATTCTTTGGTCATATTTTATATGTCTATTTTTATACAGATTTTTTTAAACATAAAATTTACCCAATGTGCCAGTGTAGTAGATTAACATATTGTTTGGGCAACATATTTTATATTTTTGAAAGGTGAGTAAAACATTGTTGTAAATTTAATTTCTCCACGACCGCGGACACGCTGGCGTGTCAGTTAACAATAGATTTCTTAGAAATTTAATTAATTTCTTAGAAGTTAACCTGGAGGTGTTAAAAATGATTTAACATATTATTTCTGTCTTATTAACTTTAAGTTTTTTAAGGAAGAAATCTAATAGCTCACACAAACAAATGATTCACCCAAACGTCGTAAATAATAAATCAACATATTGCAATTGAGGTCTAAATATTGTATTTCAGGTTAGTTTCATGTTGTGCGTTGACATCAGTGGTTACATGCCTCGTCGCAACTCTCATAGTAATGCTAGCTTTGGGCATTGGACTTGGATACAACTATTGTTTTATTGATATGGAGACCGGAAGATATAAGGATGGTAAATATATTGAAATGGATTGTAGTCGTAGTGCAATGCTATCATCGTAAAGAATATGTCCCGTATTGTTTAAAAAAAATCCTATATATATATATATATATATATAACAAAATCGGGTTTGTTACAACACTTATAACTCGAGAACGGCTGGACCAATTTTTATGATCTTTGTTTTATTGGATTTGTCTTTACCCCGAATAGCAGTATAACTATTAAAGTATTGAAAAAAAAAATTCCATACTAAGCGTCAAAACGTATGTAGGGACGAACCTGATCGAAGCGAGGGTGAGTCGCTAGTTACTATTATAAACGCGCAAGTTTTTATGTTTGTTATTCATTTATACATATAATAAAATTGTAAGTAAGCCCAATCAATCTGTACATTAAATATTTTTTGGAAAATCTTATTGAAACAAACATTATTATCGATACAGGGGCCGAATATATAGTTTATAGAATTTTTGTCTGTCTGTCTGTTACCTAAACTTACTAATATCTAAAACTTAGAATATGGTTTTTGGTCACCTGAACGCGGGCGGAGCCGCGGCCAATGCTAGTAGACTATAATAAATACGGGGGCCGAACTGCGAGAAAACGTTAGTAACTAATAATATTTTCAAATTAAATATCTTTTTTTTAACTATTATATTTTACTTCTATTTATTTCAATTATTTTCAGATCTATTAGTGAAGCCAGTAGAAACACACGTAACGACTAGCGCAAATGGCATTATTTTTGTAAAACCAATGGTTACTACAACGACACCGTTGCCCATCGAAGTTAACTCTACAATGATTGCACCATTAAATATTGGCATTAATTTTACCTATCTCATACAAAAAATAAAGGAGAAAAAGCATAATGTTACCTTAGAATTAATTTATTAGGATGTTAGCCTTCCTACGAGATTTTAATGTTACAATACCTCGTAGTTACGGCTGCATGTACTCGTAGAGTCGATAAGTTGAGGCTGCGGTGATTCGACGCTGTGACGTCTAATAGCTATGCCTAATTCAAGAGGAATGTGTTTTAAAGTCAATCCAATACTGAATTACAGCTTAAGTGAATTATATCGTCTTTCATCACATTATTTGTATAAAGCTATTTTATTAAATTATGCGAACAAATATTATTGTGACGTTATTTTTTCAGTAGTAAATATACTATTGTAAAGGATTGTGATTTGTATGTCTGGATGGTTCGTCACTAATACGCTGAAGTTCACGAGTTTGATATTTTATTTACTTTTTTTGATACTACACGAAGTGAAGGATTGTCTGGGGATCTTCTTGGCCTGGCTAAGATGAATTAACTAGAGATGTAACTAGTGGGTCACAGTCACCTAAAGCTTTATTATTACATCTCTACGAGAAAAACAATGATAAAAGAAAAAATATAATATAATAATGAAATATATAAAAAATTATTACATAATACGGCAACGCACATATATAGTATTAAATGGAAGTGTATTGAGTAAATGGGTTTGTAAAAATAAAACATTAAATTAATAAAATGCAACTTTCAAAATAAAGGACTTCAAAAGTTATACTAAGACATACTACGAGCGTGTAGGAAGATGATACTGAAAGAAGCGAAAGAGATATGTAGAGATTGTAACGCTTGACACCCTGTTGTCTCTGCTTACCCCGCAAGGGATATAGCGTGAAGTTATGTTTTTTTTATGGTTGTCATCTGCAATCAGTCGCCAAACTATAAGCAGGTATTGAGCGGTAGGTAATGACTAACAGAACAGCATGGCCAGTGCCTAGCTGGCTAGTTAAAATACGTTGTTTCTTTTTAGCTTCTTAACCACGTTAGAATTGATGATCAATCCGAAAGCAAGTGGATTGGGGTGATATGCAAGAAAGGTATGTATATATGTATATTTTTTTATAAAAAAAATAATCATACATGTTATGTCAAATTTCTATCGCTAGTTACGAGAATTTACAGATAGATAGGAGTAGGTTATTGGGATTCACCATAAGATACATCATTATCTAACATTAGGCAACTTAGTTCAGCTTATACTCAACTAGCGTTAATCACCAACGTATTGTATACTAAAACCTTCTCCAAAACATGCTGCATCTTATGGTATGAGTATTATTCCGATCGTTTCAGTTGTTATCGCAGTATAACCGAACAAAAAAATCGGCTCTCCATTTATTAGTATAGATAAGTAGTTGGTAGAAAATGTTTTTACGGCTTGTTTTTGCATTATTAGATAGATTTATTAATATGGGTGCAAATTTTGTAGTATATAATATTATTAGCGTTATAAAGTAATCCTTGCAACAGCGTAATAACACGTATACAATTTAGATTATCCAGTGTAATCTTCAATGGAGGGTAAATTCAAATTTTCACAGCGTGTTCCGTTAAATAACGCATCAAATTGCGTTGGAAAATTGGTACGATACCACGAATAATATGCAGTTGAGTAAGATAGTTATAACAAAAACTATAAAGCATAATTGTTATTCAATTTTGTACAAATAAAAACAATAATTGGCGAGTTATAGTGAAGTTTAGGTAATATTTAACAAACTTTAAATTTACCATAATTTCATGTTCACGGAAAAGGTTTGGCAATAATAAATATTAGTTTTTTACAGTATTCTTTAAAATATGTGTATTGCATTATGCATAATAATAAAACAGGTATCCGACAGCTATTCTATTTAATACTGGTGGTAATTAACATTTATATGATGTAGGTAGAGGTACTTACTTTTCGTAGGGATGTTACTTGTAAATCGTTTTAAGTAAGCAGGTAAGAATTATAAACACAAATTTAGACGGATCTATTGAATATGGGATGTTGTTCATTATGTCGTATTATATAAATAAAAAATCACTACACAAAAATTATAGCGTCATAATATGTGTAATAGTGACACTCTACATGCAATAAAATAGGAACTTAGCGAAATCTGTACATGAAATATTTAAAAAAATAATAATGTATCCTATAGTGTAAAGAATATTGACTCTAAAACAATAGTTATTAAAATTTTTGTCTGTTTGTCTGTTTGTGTGTGCGCGTTTCACGCAAAAACATATGGACCGATTTTATGTAAATTTTGTGTAGTGATAACTTATTACTCGAGTCACCATTTAGTATACCATTTAGGTACTACAGGAAAACCTTTCGCTTACACACACATACACACACAATAACTGGTTCGACTCATCCTTAGAAATTTACATGGTTAACGCTGGCTTAACATGAACTAGGTTTAACAAGGTTTAACTTAAAAAGGCCTACAGAAAAGTCCACAATATCAAAAATGAGTCTATCTCATAAGGTACACTCGCAATAAATAATATTTATATTTAAAACGTACCTAGGGACGTACCCGAGCCAAGCGAGGGTAAGTGACTAGTCTATAAATAAAACAACAAACAGTAATAAGTAGATGCTTTATAAAAACCAATAAATGTCGTTTTGTTTTGTGATTTATTTGACTCAAATCATCTATACTAATATAATAAAAAGGTAAATTTTGTGAATTAGGAGTTTGTGACGTTGTAGGGGGTAATCTCTGGATCTACTGAAGTCTGAACCGACTTAGATGAAATTTGGTAAGAAGATAGTTTGAGATCCTGGAATGAACATAGGATACTTTTTATCCCGGAAATCATTCTTTAAGGGGGTGAAAATGGGGAAGAAAGTTTGTATGGGGAATCCACGCTAGTTTCTATAATATAAAATATCAATAGTAATAGTTGTTCTACTTTTTACTTCCATACGGATATTATTTTCTTATCTTTATCGTATTCCTTAGGAAATGAAAAAAAACACGTCCGCTGTTACATTATCCCTTTTTTATTTTTAACGTTGGGAAATGCATTTACGCACGAGGTGTGGGACTCACCGGCGAAGCCAGTACTACCCACTAAAACCCAACGAAACCTTCCCCCGTCTTAATGGGGTGTCGCAGGATCTACGTCGCCCCGACGGCAGGTCTGCCGAAGCAGACCACAACAGCCACGGGGTTGCTCCAAGGTCCACTCTGCTATCAGAGAAGTACCAGGAGCAACCCGCATGGTACACCGCCCTCCGAAGAATGCCACTTCCCACCGCCCACCGAATTGGGCCACCTCCCTGTGCGTTTCTTGGCTTCGCGCCCAGCTGTATTGCCGGGCACTACTGAGACCCACCCCCACCCCTCCACGACAAGGTGAACGCACGTTTGGGACTGTTACATTAACCCTAATTTAATATTTATTATATGGTTATTTCTGTTTTACATTATATAATTACTCGTAGCAGAGCCATATTATGGTTCTAATTTCTTCGTCTATGATGAATTCATGTATTCATATAATCGATAATACGAATTTAGCCTGCTTTATAACACTATTTCTCACTACCATAGGTTGGCTGGAAGAGATCTCTTCTAGAGATAAGTCCACCTTTGCAAACAAAGATTCTTTTTTAATTACTGTATTGATTTTTAAGTGCAATAAAGAATAGTATACATATTATAGTAATTATTCATTTGTTTGCGTATTCTAATATTTGACCGTCTGAGTACAAAAAAAAAAGATTTTTGGTACTAATTACTTAATTACAGTTTAATCTTACTTACTGCAAGGTGAAAAAGTTAAGTAGGTACTTAGAAGGTAAGTACCGTGGAATGGAAACAATTATTTGTAAACGGAGCCTAAAACGTAATACTTATTCTTTAAAAATACAAGTAAAGAGCATGATAATGTAGTATTTCCACAAAATCTATGGATTATTTTACATTAAAAGTCAATTATTATATAAATTGTGGTAAGTTTTATACGAAAACCTTTTCTACCTAATGTTTTAAATAAGTACATGAATTTTAAATAAAACTATCTTTTCGGATTATTTCGCGAATTTATTTTGATTTTTGGTTCCCGACGTTTCGAATGCTTTACAGCAATCATGGTCACGGGAGAGACTGAGGTGTTAGATGTCTCTAAGGTATTATATAGTTGTTACAGACAGCCTACCCACAATTAACAAAATGAATTCAAAAATTGAAAAACGGCACTAAAGTACCTTACAATATTTTAACTTTTAACTTTAAACATTTTTATATAATTTTAATTAGCTTTATAATTGAATATGGAATATTATTTATTTAATTTGAGCTGTTATTATTATAATTATTACAATTTTAAAAATATTAATTATTAATTACATTTTTAGTGTTGCCATTATTATATTTATAACCATAAAGCAAAAATCATAATATAATAATTATTTAAGCCACATAATTGATCTATGTGTAATTTGAAAAATTACTGCATAAATTTACAAATGAAAAAGTGAAAAATATTAATCAGAAATGCTATCATTTTGATCTACACAGTAAGAACTTACTACATCTACCTGTCTGTTATGTTTAGATTTATTATTAGATTTTATTATATTAATAACAGAATCCCATGACGATGGTAGTACCCAGCCATCTTCCCTATTGAAATTTGTTTTTTTTTAATTTCTATGGCTTCTCGAATCATTCTAGGGCGATATCGGTTTTCTTTCGCCAAGATTTGAGGTCTATCGAAGCGAATATAATGGCTTGGGCGGTCCTACTATGTTTGCAGACAGCAGATGTTTTATTGCGACGGTGCTTCACATCAGCTATGTGTTCTTTGCCCCGGGTTCTAATGGATCTCTTTGTTTGTCCGATATAAGAGAGCCCACAAACACAATCAAGCTTGTAAACTCCTGCATCTTGTAGAGGGATGTGGCACTTGACAAGTGGTCGAAACTGACTAATTTTCTTTGGCGGCTTGAAGTAAGTTTTAATTGAAGCTCGCTTTAGAATGTAGCTAATCTTGTCAGTGACGCCTCTCATGTAAGGTAGGACTGCCGGGACGCGCTCGACTGTGG